CCAAACCCCCCCCCCCTCCTCTCGTGTCGTACTTCTGTTTAAATTTGGTCAAAGAACCCAAAGGTTTTTTGACACAGGATTTTCCCTTTCCCCGAATCCGTGCTGGTTTTTTCGTTTAAAATCTTGTTCCGTTCCCCGGTGCTTTCCCCCACTCTCCTCCTGATAATCTTCTTTCCTAAATTTGCATACTAAACAGGGCAGTGAACTGGGCCTGTAATTTAGGGGCCCCCTTTTCTGTCTCTTTTTTTTAAAAAAAGGGAACTAAAATTTGCGGTGTGGGGTTTTGGGGGCGCACGACTAAAAAAAAAAAAAAAAGAGTGGGAAATTTTTCCCCACACCCCACACGCCCCTGACTTTTAATTTGTGCAAGAATTTTTTAATGTGTCACACACGGGGTTTTCTGATGCACCGAGGCTCGCCCCTTTAGAGACGCTCTTCCTCATGGGGAGACCCTCCAAACGTACAGGAAAGTGGGAAACCCACACTGACGAATTTTAAAAACAAAGGGCCTGAACTCAAAAAGGTAAGGGAAAAATGGGGGGTCGAGTAAGGAAAATACACTGGGTGTAGGCAAAGTTTGTACACTGGTGTAAGCAGAATTAAAAACTGGGGGGGTAAACATAAGTAGGTACATTAGTGTTGGGGTAACAGGTACCCCGGGTGTCGTCTTCCCGGGGCGTGCACCTCACTGGCTGGCGGCGGCGGGCGGCGGCGGGGGGCGACGGCTGCTGCTGCTGCTGCTGCGCTGCGGGTTTCTGCTCCTCCAATCACTGGGAAAGAGTTTTAAATGTGTTGTCAATGTTGATTTAGTGTTTTTTGTCACTGTTACTGTGTAGGTTCAATGATACCTTTCATCACTGTTATCACCACTTAAACTTTCTCCTAGTGACCGAACATTAGCCTTGAAAATTTGAAGTCGATCTGTTGAGGCATTCTCAAATTATAATATATAAACTTTAAAGGCAGGAACAAAAAACTGAGTCATCCACTTAAAGGTGCCCCTCCAGGGCCACCTAATTGTAATTTGACAGGTCGTACACAGTGACATGTAGCGTTAATGAGCCTCACGTAGTTGATTATCCGGAAGCCTAATAAACCAAGCTGAAGGAGTGCTAGTCTCGTTAATCCTAGATGTGAGAACACGTCTGAGTGTGTGTGTGTGTGTGTGTGTGTGTGTGTGTGTGTGTGACCAAATTAATGTAGATAAGTGGTTCAGAGAACCGACAAGTTGATGAATTAGACACATGTACAACACTTGGGTATCTTATTGAGGAGCTGACCAAATTAGTCTGCATAAATAACTCAGTATGATTGTGACCGGATATAAATAAATAAATAGTTCATTACCACTGTAACGCTTTGGGGTTCAGTCCCTGGACTCATTATGTACCTCTGTAATCCTTTGACTACGGCCCACAGAATGGGTATGGGGTGCATAATAAAGATAATAAACTAACGTCTCTCTTGAAAGAGCAAGGTTAGGATGACAGCGCACACTTCCGCGTCTCTCAAACAGTGTAAGAGATCCACTTTACTTCTCTGTGTCAGAAAGATGTTTACCTGGAGGTGGAGAGAGGCAGAGGCCACCTTCCTCTCCTTATATTACAATATTCTCCCAGTTACACTTGCTTTATGTCTGCCTTATCTGACATACCACAAAAAGTTAATAATTCGTAGGTTAGGCTGTGTGGCATGCAAGAGTATGTAAGCTTTATTCGGAGCAGGTACACACCCTCATTAAAAGCTACCTCCCCAACCAGCGAACCAGATGCTAAGGATCGGACGATCGGGGCTCCATCGGATCAGTATCTAGGTTTCAGCCAATGAGAAGGTGGGTCTGGCAATGGTGGAAGTGTAGTAGTCACCACTCACCTTTCCACCTTCGTCATTTCCATTCTAGAGCTGGTTGAGCACGGTTGTCCATTCTGTCTCCAGGCTGTGTATTTGCCTTTGACTAACGCGTTGTACACATATATTTCTAACTGTATAGAGTGCACATACTGTAAATAATTACTATTGCTCTTACGCTGTTTGTTCTGCTCTTTGCTCCCCTTTACACCCAGGATAACAAGCCTTATTGTGCCTGGGTTGTAATAGCTACGTTAGGTTAGGTTAGGCTAGGTTAAGTTTAAGTTAGATTTGGAGGGATTAGAATAGGTTAGATTGGGTAAGATTAGATTTACAGTCATGAAATAATTACATAGTTTATACGTCTTGCAACGCAAAGTATATTACAGTTATCCTCACGAACTCGACAAAGAGTTAATGTATATGTTGCTGGAGGCGCGACTTTGTATATTATAAACTATAAATGATTTTCACATTTTTTGCGAGTTACGTGCTGGAGCTGATAACTCCTTTGAAGTCTAGGAAAGTCTCTTGATTCAAGGCATCGGCGCTATTCTCCCTTTCGAGTTAAACTTGATAACTTCCCATATGTATATATATATATATATATATATATATATATTATATATATATAATATATATATATATATATATGTCGTGCCGAATAGGCAGAACTTGCGATCTTGGCTTAAATAGCAACGCTCATCTTGCCATATAGGACAAGCGAAAATTGCGTATGCAATAATATCGCCAAAATCAATCTGAACCTAACCAAAAATATATATTTCACTGTGTTTGTTTGGTATTAAATTAACTGTAAGCAAATCTAAAATATATTTAGTTTGGTCAAGCTGAAATAAACTGCGCTTGTTATAATAAGGTTAGGTAAGTTTTCTAAGTTCCTTTTGGTGCAAAATTATAAATTTTTACATCAACATTAATGAAAAAAATATATCTTTAAACGTATAAGAGAAAATTTTAGAAAGGACTTAATTTTAAATGAGTTCTTGCTAATTGACCAGTTTTACATATTCGGCACGACATATATATATAATATATATTATATATATATATATATATATATATATATATATATATATATATATATATATATATATATATATATTATATATATATAATATAATATATATATATAAAATGTTGTGTGTGTATCGGCTGGAGTGGCATGAGTAAAATTCGCAAAGGAACTTAATATTGAAGCCCAATATACTATGTGGCTGAGTGGACAAAGCTGAAGGAAACTCCTGGATTACTGGTAAGAAACTTCCTTAAGATGTCTCCAGAAACACTCTCACTCTCTCTCTCTCTCTCTCTACCTCTCTCTCTCCTCTCTCTCTCACTCTCTCTCTCTCTCTCTGAGAAAATGAGTTAACGAGAAATAGAGAAACTTTCTCTCTGTCACATAAAGAACATGGGCTTGTCTGTCCCCAGGGAATCGTAGTTAATAAGTTGTTACTTATTAATGTCACTAGAGGGTGTCCCTTCCTGACATCCCTTGCCAGACGTTCCATGCCAGACGCCTCCTGTCCAGACCCTGCCAGGCACTGTCAGATTCACATCATCTCTCGCCAGGGAACGCTGTATAGCCCTTGTGGTTTAGCGCTTCTATTATTATATATAATAATAATCTCGCCAGGGAATTCGAATTAACCCCCTTCATTATTGTTTGTGTCAGACTGGGATACACCCCAGTGTGCTGCACTTTATCTAGTTGGTGTCAGTGAACAAAAATAATTTTTTTTTAGTCCCCCACC